TGTTCTCCTAGATATTTACCTAAGAGAAATAAAAACATGTCTACAAACACTCTTAAGGGTTTTCATATTATTCCAATCCATCATGATGCAAATGAATAAACAAACTGTGGTATACTCATGCAATGGAATTACTTACAACAGATCTACGGGGGGAAGCTTCCAATGTAAAACGATAATATAAAAAGAAATAAGAACAGAGGAAAAATTCAAAGAAACTTAAAGACATATCATTATGAAAATGCCACAAGAACAATAAAAAAAAAAAACATTTAGCAACTAAGAAAAAAGTTTTTTGTAAGTTAAAAAATATGCTGATAGTTGAACTCAAATACGGAATAGGAGGATGGGAAGACAAAGAAAATATCCCAGAAAGTAGAACTCAAACACAAAAAGGACAGTAAAATTGAAAAGAATACTTGATAATTTAGTACCATAAGATAAATCTAGCCCAGCCGGGTGTGGCTCAGTGGTTGAGCATCGTCCTAGGATCCAGGAGATCGGGGTTCGATTCCAGGTCAGAGCACATGCCCGGGTTGGGCTGCGGGCTCAATCCCTGGTTGGGGGCATGCAGGAGGCACCCGATCAATGCCTCTCTCATCACTGATGTTTCTATCTCTCTCTCTCCCTCTCCCTTCCTCTCTGAAATCAATAAAGATATATTTAAAAAAAAATACTGATCCATAAGCTAAATCTAAAGGAAACAATTTATAGAACCAAAAAAGGTACAAATTTATATTGAAAAGGTCCAGAAGGCCTGTAGCAATAAACCAAAAAAACAAACAAACAAAAAAACCCCAAAAAGAGAGAAAAAAAAAAAATCAAGGAACAGCTCTTTCAAATTTAAAAAATACCAGAGATAAACCGAAAATTCTAAAATCTACTAGATAGAAAAAAATCAGAGTAAGAATGATACTGGTCTTCTCGACAACACTGAAAGCTGGAGGACAATGACAATCAATACCTTCAAAATTCTGAAAGAAATGTTTTACAACGCAGAATTCTATATCCAGCCGAATTATAAATAAAAAGTGAGAACAGAGCAATGCATTTTCAGGCATTTAGAACTGCAAAAAAAATACCACTTTAAAAAACTTTTCGGGAAATTTCTGAAGGATGTGCTCCATCAAAATAAGGGTAAAGCAAGGACATGAGTTATAATAAAAAGTGAATTCCTTGAATGATAGCAAAGACAAGCCCAGAACAGCTGTGCACCAGGCACAGAGGGAAACAAGTCCAGCTTGGAGCAGGAAGGAATACTGAGGGTGTGGGGAATAAGGGTAAATCATCTGATAGGTGCGCCAAGTGGGAAAACTCGTACAGAGAGTTGTTGAATAACATGAAATGACTTAGTCAAATGTACAAAGAAACTAAAGCAATGAGAGGCTGTAATTATTTACTCTAGGGGAGGAAAGTTGTAGAAAAAAGGGAAACAATATAGCATACTGTGGCTCAGCAGTGACAAAACTTTAGTTACAACAATGAAAAGACAGAGTGGATCAAACCAAAAAACTATATTGGAATGATGAAGGAAAAGGTCATAAAGGTACTAATTTCTCTTCTACCGTAATAAGACAAATGATTTGTATACTTGAAACTAATATAGTGTTATATGTCAATTATATCTCAAAAACCCCCACAAATGATGTTTAAAATTTTCATATATGCATATTATTAAAAAATATGGAAGTATATTATGGAAAAAAGTCAAGAGATTAAAGAGATTTGACTACGATGTATCAACAGTGCTAAAACTTTAGCACTATTTAACGTTTTAAAAAATGTGTACATGTTGCTTTGTTACAAAATTTTATGTTTAAAAACACCAAAAAATGCCCAGCCGGCGTGGCTCAGTGGTTGATCACAGACCTATGATCCAGGTCGTGGTTCGATTCCCGGTCAGGGCACATGCCTGGGTTGTGGGTTCAGTCCCCAGTAGGGGACATAGAAGAGGCAGCCGATCAATAACCCTCTCATCATTGATGTTTCAACTCTCTCTCCCCCTCTCCATTCCTCTCTCTGAAATCAATAAAGTCAGTGAAAAAACAAACAAAAACAAAACAGCAAAAAATTGAACAATTTTTTTTGGATTGGAGATACAATAAGTGAACAAAACAAAGTTCATGCCTTAGAAGTTATTTCTATAGAGAGAAACAGACACAGAAGCAAACAAACTTACGATTACAGGTAGAGAAAAACATTAGTTCAAAAAATAGAAAATGAGTGTTGGGGTGGGAAGAGTGGTCAGAGATGGCCTCTCTGAGGAGTGACATTTGATCAGAAATCTGAACCATCTGAAGTAAGGGATAGAGTATTCCAGAAAACAGAAAGCAGACAGGTGGTAAGTTTAAGTTTCATATGTTTGAAACCAGGAAAAAGTCCAGAATTAAGAGCAGAATAAGTTAAAGAGAGAAGTGAAAGACACCAGATTGAGCAGTCAGAAGAACAATAGAACAATGTCTTAAAAAGTTGGCTACCAGTGCTCATTGACAAGTATCCAAGTAAATCAGTCTTGTACCTTAAACTAATTATGTACTTTGTAATAGCTTTACTTAGACAATACATACTCTTGTATACTCATTCCCAGAAAGGTATCAAATTTATGAAAAGATGCTTGGTGCTCTAAAATGCTACAGGAAAAAAAGATGGAAGTGAGGCAAATACTAGAAAGATAGATAAGAGAAAGGAGTATTTAAGGTAAGATAAGTAGTTCTCAACTCTGGCTGTATATCTGGATTATCTCGGCACTGCCCAGACCACTCCACCCTATTTTGATTTAACTGGTCTGGGGTGGGGCGTATTATTCTAATTTGCACCCAAGGTTGAGTGCTTGGGTATCTCTGGATTAGATGTGTTATAGTGGTGAAAATGGAAAACGTGGAGATTGTCAGTTAATTTTGTCAATATAGAAAGTAAAAATACAGGACTAAAGTATCAATCCCTTGCTTCAAAAATAATGTACCATGACCACACTCTTAAACTGCTCCCACCGCTTGCTCTGTGTAGTTAAGAGTCTTAGTCAACATACAAGGCTCTCTGTGATCTGGTTGCCCTGGCTCCCTTTCCAACCTCACCTCCTCTAATTCACCCACAGGAAAACTAAAATACAGCCAAATGAAACTATTTTCAGCTTCCTTCCATGTACCAAACTTTTTAATTCCTCTCCCATTTGCATATTATTAGTCCTCCTGCCTAGAATAACATGCCCCTTCTACATTCCTACTTAACACTGAAGTCTAAGTACACTTTTTCTGTAGTCTTCCAGGAACCACATGACAAAAATTAATCATTTCTTTTTGGTGCCATCACCACACTTTAATACACATCAGGTAAATAATTTACCACATTGCTTTTTTTCCTACTTCTTTCCGTCAGGTAGTGATCTTTGAACACTATGAGAGCCAAGAACAACATCGTTTCTGTTTGTTTTTAAATCTTTGTATCTCCTATGCCTAACTCTAAAGACTGGTTTATGCCCTATGATTAAATGTTAGTTGCAAGAACGAATGAGAATAAAATGACAGAAAACCAGTAGTACTAAATATACAGCAGTAAAGTTAAAGGAAAAAATCTAAACAGTAATGAGGGTTTAGGGAGCCTGAACAGTTATGACTATAAAAGCTGCTCATGAATGGCTTTCACCATCTCCCGAATTTTCCCCTTATATCCTCCAGTTCTTTTTAGCCTGATTAAGGAAGACTCAAAAAAAAAAAACAAACAACCAACCAACCAAACAAAAAAACACGAGAAAGGGGAATGGGACAGGTTACCAGGGAGAACCAGCAACTTTGGTAATGTTTTATTTCTTAATCTACAGAGAAAAGTAACCAGGTGAGATTATTATACGACTCTTGATACTTTTTAGCACGTCTTAAAATGCTGCTTTACATAGTAATTGAATTTATGTAACAAGGATTAGAAAATATAAAGTGCTGAAAAATAAGGCATTGAACTCTGGCCACTTTGAACTCACTTGAAAAGTGGAGTCTGTGGTAACTGAATATGTCTACATCTGTGTGTGCATAGATCTATATTTATAGTCCCTGAAAAAGATTATTTTAGTGTTCTTATCAGTCTACAGAACAAGTGAACTAAAATCATTTCACTGTCTTCACTTCATCCAGAAAAAAAGATACCACACTAGCCGTAGAAAATTGGTATTATCCTAGAAACATTGTTTTTATTATGTCCAGATACCAAATGCGAAAAGAAACTAGTCCAAAAACTGGTTTCAGTTACTAAGAAAAATAAAGAACACCTAAAATTTACCCACTGTTACTTTTTTTTTTTTTTTAATGTGGGTATTTTCCCTTTTCAGAAGACATCCCATTTCATTCTCTGACTCAGAACAGGTTTTACAACTTCTTGTCCCTTTGGATCTGCAACCTCTAGATGTCTCAGTTCCAGACTAATTACGGACACGCCAGGTCCTCCGAGGACCAGGAGCCTTCAGTTCTCTAACGTCTGAGAAAGGGAGGAAGGACAGAGGACGCCGATTTCCAGAAAGCCGTCGGTGTATTTCCAAAGGACGCCTCGCCGCGGCGTCCCGGGGAGGCGGCGGCGGGGTCGGGGGAAGGCGGGCGCGCGGCCGAGCGCGCGTCGGAAAACCGAGCAGCGCTCGTTTCAGAAGGCAGCTGGTAAGTTTCAGGGCGGACACGCACCCTGGAGCAGGGCTCAGGACGTTTTCATGAGCGACGTAAAAAGCACCCCAGACGCTCCCAGGTACCAATCGGTGTTTTCCGCTTAGCTCCTAATATCCAAACATCCGTAGTTTGGATTCTGGGGCGCCCCATGCCTTCCCTCCTGACTCCCCGTGTCTCCCACGCCTCTCCCGCACCTTCTCCCAGCCTGAAGTGAGGAATTGCTACCCGCTCCCCGGACTCAGTCGCTTCCCTGCGTCTCGGAACGTCCGCGCCGCCCGCCAGCCGGCCTGCCGCCGTCCCCTCGGGCGGCCGGAGCCCCTTCCGCGGCTTCGAGCCGTTGCGCAGCTCCGTCCTCCTCACCTTGGTTACAGAAGAGGCTCCACAGTTTGGCGAAGATCAGCCCCATCATGAGCGCCTGGGCCGGCCGCGGGGTCGCTCGGCAGCAGGT